AAGCTGCACCACCATTATGACAGTAGCCTAAAGGAAAATATGAAACCATTTCATAGTTGATCTTATGTATAAAGCAGCTTGATATTCTGTATTCTATATATGGCACATTCTACACCAGCATGGTAGAAGGTTATTTGAAGAAGGAAAGGCTTGAAGCTTCAACCACAAGAGCGGATGAGGTTAGTAGGTCAAAAACATGAGTTGTTGAGCTGAGTTGAGTTATAATATGTTTGATTGGATTGACGTACCTGCCAGAAAGAGGAAGAACAAAAGCACCAAACACAGGCCCAGAACACAGCTCCTCATTTCACAGCGTTTCTCTGATCTCCACTCTGTGTTACTGCCGGGATTGTGTGGAGCTCTCTCTCTCTGAGCGACAGGAGCAGGTGGGGAAACAAACCCCGAGAAAAAAATAGACACACGATCTGTCACTTCCGCGTAGAGGTATGGGAAGGATGAGGTTGCGGGGGCTGGGCTACGCTGGAGTGTAGATAGCAAGGACACATACACTCCAAATGCAGCTCAGCTTTTCACTTTTTTGCCATCATCTATTCATTTTTTACATAATACACATAACAAAATCAATCAGACATCTCAGTTATAAAGTATCTATTGAGTTCTCAATAATATTAGATATTTCATCAGTTAGTTAGTTTAATAATAGACCATCAGTTCAGTTTTCATGTAGGCAGATGTGAAATCTATCATACAATTCAGCTTTTATAGGGGCCTTCCAGCCTAACACTATGGATTAATGTTATTTGTCATGTTATATATTATTCTGCAGTGCGGCTTTGCATCCCTCAGCCTCACTGGTTTGACAGAATTAATGTTGTATTCTTTTTGTGGTGTTCTCTCACTACAATACCCAGCATGCATTACACAAATACGCCATATAACCATTATGATATTCACCTTCCTAGCAGCAACATTAGCAATCTGGCTTCTTTCATTAGAAAAAAAAAACTTGCAGTTTGTCAAATGTGCCTCCCATCTTCAAGATACATAATCAGAAGGGGGTTTTCCCCTGTCATTAAACCCAAAAATCACACTATATACTGTTAGAAAGGTTCTGTACAGGTACATTTTTCATTCATCAAGGTACAAACAATGTAAATGTTCCCTCAAAGGTACTACAGTGGTTTTAAGGTCTGATTGTGAACCTTAAATAAGTTTTTCCAGGTGAAAAGTCTGTATTTGTATCTTTTCATAACCGAATGTTTTAAAACAGAACCATAAAATAAAAAGCCTGGAGACGAGACGGGGTGTGTGGAGTCAGTACAACTTATATAATGTCAATGGATTATGGTACAGTTATGTTCCCTGACTGAAGGTACTGAGATGTACCGTTGAGGGCCCCACCCCAGTGACAAGAGGAGCACTGCCCCAGTGACAGTTTACTACCTTCACTTCTGAGAGTGTAGACACTACTGTGGCACTGCTGTAGGCATGCATCCAACGGATATAGAAATGGATGATTTTTTAGCTCCATTAGCTGGAGTGCCTGTAATGATGTCTTAATAATAATAGTCTAATAATACAACAATAGTCTAATAATAATCTTTGTGGAATCTGTCAGTCAGTTTAATAACAGAGTATCTGTTCAGTCTGTTTTTAAATAATAAGCCTATGTGAAATCCATCAGAGTGATAACAGGACACTTACAGGGTCTCGGTAACAACTTCAGTTAGGTTCCTAATGGATCTTTCAACAGGAGACTAATCGACACTAAACCCACCTCCCAGCCCTCCACCACCCAGCCCCCCACCACCACTTTTGGTCCAGCTGTTAAACAAACATACAAGGAATCTGTAAAGGCCCTCAAAGTGTCGACTCTTGGTCAGTGAGCAGTGCACACACCTCATTCAATTGATCTATACATGCTCCGCCCACTAATACACTCTCTCCTCATCACTGGTGCAAAGTTGGTTGAGCTTTGCAGAACAATTTGTCCTGTTTCAAAAGTTTTTTAAGGAGGGCCTCGGCCACTTTGACCTGGACCTACGTCACATCTACGTCACGCGAGTGGCTGGTCATGGCAGAAGGAAAAAAGATGGTTCTTCAAGGGTTCTTTGCGAAAACAACAATAATAAAAAACACTCAACCATCCACTTGCGTGCTGAAATGGTTCTTTGCATGGTGAAATGGTTCTTCAGATTGGTGGAGAATGTGTTGCATGTGGTTCCACACAGAACCTTTTTGGAAATGTTTCTATATAGCACCAAAAAGGGTTCGGCTACTGCTACAAGCTTGACATTGTAACAATAACAGAACCTTTTTGGTGCTATATAGAACCATTTTCAAAAAGGATCTGTGTAGAACCACATACAACACATTCTCCAACAACCTGAAGAACCCCTGAAGAACCATCTTGTTTAAGAGCGTAGTGGAGCGAATTATTTAAACGTAACACATGCACTCAGCTGGTTAGCCTCCCTGAGCTAATTGGCAAGCAATGCTGTGTAGCCTTTGTGATGCATTTTGGTCTAAGCTGGTTTAGTGCTGGTCTGGTCCTGGTTTAACTGGTCACCCAGTATGCTCATGCTGGTTGACTAGCATACCAGCATCCAAAACACAACATATGCTGTGTGATAAGGGTGGTTGCCACTTTTGATGGTGTTGTGGTGAGTGAGTGGTCCAGTGGCTCTGAAGTTTATTGGAACTATACACACAAAAATATTTACACTCGTGAGGAAAAGTTTAAAAAACAAAGCTGTATATAAATGACTCCACTGACCCCTCAGTCAGCGTCCAACGGTCATGTCTCCACACAGAACTAGTGCAATTCTGCTCAAATAAATCAGAGGCTGCAAAGGCACAAATCCCAAATCCCACAATTCCAAATCACAAAGGAACTAACTCCCCCATTGTCCGCCTTCTTTCCTAAATTGGTAGATCCTCCCACATTGTATCTGGGTCAAACCACTGTTCAAATCTAGGGGTGACAAGAAAAAACAAACAATATGCATGTATATTACATGCATACACACTATGGCCATTTCTCTTCATACATACAGGTGCACATTCAACATATAAACAGTATTGCTACAGCCTTATGTAACATTGTGTTTTCAAATTTACAGGTACCTGCAACCTGGATCCCACCTCACCTCAGTCCCCCAGGACCCCGGGTAAGTAGACGTTTAGATGTATTCCATTAAATGTCTGCCATAATAAGTCACCTTAATGTCCAGGTAAGAGGTGAACTACAGTTCTGGTGATGTATTAGGGTGTCCTAACATCATCACATGCTGGTTTTGTTAATCTATGCTGGTTTTTCTAGCACATACTAGAGAAGCATTTCCATTAAAAGTGTAAATGGGATCCTGGGAAAATTTATCGAGATACAATCCAGATATGAAACACATGTAAGGCAAGATGTAAACTTATAAGTTTGCCCCATGCCTTGCCATGCCACGTTAATCGCTGTAGCATGGCTGAAGTTTAGATTAAGTTATAGATTAACTTCAGCCATACTACAGTAATCAGTGGTCAGTTCAAAAGAGATCCAGCAGATGGCGCTAAAGGTCTGGGTTGTGGTTTCTTGCAGTCCCACGCAGAGCATGCAGAAGGCAGGAGGGTCAGCAGCTGTTTTTTGAGTGGGTCACTCCTCACCGCTGCTCAGAGGGAAAGTGGGGGTCATTTTATTTTAGGAGAATGGCTATTTTCTGCTCTTGAAAGATAAACAATGCTTTGGGCTGAATGTGCTGATTTCTTCTTCCTCAAATGCTAAGTTTGCATGTTTGTTCAGTTCAACTATTACAGTATCCCCCACTCACCCCCCACCCCCAATGCTGAATTGACCCCTACGGCGGCCTGTTGGACACAAATGACTGACAGTGTAGAGCTGGTGTTTCTACTGTGAACGTACGTTGCTGCTGTCCACGGTGCTGAAAGGTCCATCTTTGGTTCTCACACTCTTAAACTCTTAAAAAAGATGTTTTTTCAAGGGTTCTTTAGTAAAGGCAATGGTTCTAACCTTGAGTAACAATGGTTCTAACCATGAGTAACAATGGTTCTAACCATTTACACGCTTGCATGATGAAATTGTTCTTCCCATCGATGGAGAGTCTGTTTGGTTCTATATAGAACCTTTTTGGAAATGCACAAAAACGGGTTCTTCTAAAAACTCTGGGTTTTTCAATGATGCTTGGCTTGAACGATTCTAGGTGAAAGCCTTACTCAGTACACTCTTTAAAAAGATGCTTCTTCAACGGTTCTATCGTAAAGGCAATGGTTTTCCATAGAACCATGAACACTCAAAGAACCCTTTGCTTTATTAAAGTGTTCTTTGCATCATGAAAGCGTTCTTCAGATTGATGGAGAATGTGCTGTATATGGTTCTACATAGAACCTTTAGAAAATAATCAGAAAAGTTAGAACGTTGCATAGTGAAACTGTTCTTTACATCCATGGAAAATGTGTTTGGTTCTATATAGAACCTTTTTGAAGATGAACAAAAAAAGGTTCTTCTATCGCCACAATGTCAAGCTGGTGACAACAGCAGAACCCTTTTTGGTGCTATACAGAACCACACCAAACGATTTCACCATGCAAAAAAGCGTTTAAGCATGCAAATGGTTCTTTAAGTGTTCATGGTTCTATGCAGAACCACCGTCTGTACTACAGACCCATCTTTTTGAAGAGTGTATAGGAGCTTTGTAGTATCTGGAGGCTCTTCGGTCTTTAAAAAGGTTCTCGTTCTTAGGTTCTTTCAAGGAACCACCAGACCTTCATTTTTTCTTCTCTGGTTGGTGGAACATGAAGGTGAGAGCTTGTTTTGGTTCTATGGTCTTCAGCTTCTCTGCGGGAATGGAATCCATCTAAGAAGCTCAGGTTGTTTTTTTGTTTTTTTTGTCTCCTGACCCCGCCCCCTTCTCACCCGGATGAATGACTTCACTTTTCCGTCTGGGTTTCCTTCACGGTCTCGGGATCTCCCTGCATTTTTCACAGGAGCTCCGCAGGCGCGCGCACAGCCCTCGCTCGCTCTCTCCCACCCTCTCTCTCTCGCTCGCTCTCGCTCTCTCTCTCTCGCGCTCGGTAACCCGGACCGCCGCGAGCTCTGCGCTCCTGCAGCGGAGTTTTCTATCCATTTCTCCACTTTACGCGGGAAAGACTTCCGAGCCCGAGAGGAAGGCGAAGTTCCGGATCGCAGCACCGCCTCTGAACGCACTCGTCTCGCTTTTATCCGGTCGGTCACTCCTGCTCGAGACTCCATCGCCATGTCCGAGGTGCTGCCCTACAGCGAGGGGAAGATGAGCGGCTACGGAGGGGACAACGATGTCAGCCAGATCTCGTTCAGCTGCAGGTTGCAGGACACGAACTCGTTCTTCGGAACGTCGCAGTCCAAAAGACCACCCAAACTCGGCCAGATCGGCAGAGCCAAGCACGGTGAGCAAGACCCAGTGTCATACACGCTGATGGGTCTTCAAGGGTGCTTTAGTAAAGTTGTATAGAGAACCATGTTCATGCTTAGATGGCTCTTTGCATGGTGAAAACCATGTTCATGCTCTTTGCATGGTGAGATGGTTCTTCATGGACAATGTGCTGTGTATGGTTCTATACAGAATATTTAGAACCACCAAAAAGGTTTCCTCTATTGTTACGAGGTCAAACGTGTAACAATAGATAAACCCTTTTTGATGCTAGAACCGTTTGACCATGCAAGGAACCACTTAAGCATGGAATAGATCCATTGTCTTTAGAAAATAACTGTAATGTATGTCATTGTTATTAATGATATTTAATGTAATTTTGGAGCATTTCTATTAATTAACAATCAACATGAAATGTTTACACACGATGCGCATTTTCAAAACTAAGTTATGAGATTTGCATATTGACATGATCTTAAAATCTAATTTGAATATGGAAATGATAAGAATTCAACTGTAATCCCTGCTGAAAAATAACATAGACAAAGAGCTGTTTCTGTTGGTTTCTAATGGTTTTGTAATGAGTTTTGGCTTTTTTAAAGGGTCATTGTCACCATTAAGCCAATTCCAATTAGAAAGCAAAACCATTAGGTTCTAATCCAGACGGTCCTTTTCCAGCAGGAATGCCATCAAAACAAACCAAAAACCCTCCAAACAGCCACAGAGCTCCAAGACAATCCAACAGTGTTTTTAGCTTTTTCCTACAATATGAGACCACAAATGAGGCTAAAAGCTGAAGCAAGAACTCCTTATTCAAATTTTCCATTCCACCTTAAATGGTGCAGCACTTATTTTGCCCGTACAGGCGCTGCAATAGAGCTGCTGTACCATTTAAGGTAGAATGGATAATTCCAATAAGAACTTCAGGCTTGTAAACCAGTATGGTTCTATTTTTAGTGTTTACCTTCATTTCAGTTAAACAACTTAGTAAAAAAATAAATAAATAAACATGTGCTCTCTTCACAGTGGTCATCGAAGACGACCGAATAGATGAAGTCCTCAAAGGCATGACAGACAAGTCCTCCCCGGGCGTTTAAAAGCGCGGAACGATGCCTCGTCAATGTTTTTCTTTTCAGTCACCGGTTTGAAGCACTTGTCGACTGTGCATGTGAGCAGTGAGGAGGAGCAGCCGAGAAGGTTTTTAGGAGTCTCGACGCTGGAGGAGAAGCTGAGGAAGACGGGAGGAAGGGGCGAAGAGAGTGAGACGCTGTTGGGCTTTTAGCAGAGGGATTTGCAGGCGATTCTCCAACCCAAACCCATCCCAAAAGCTGGCGTGCAGAAAGGTTACCAGCTCTTGTTTTCATTCAGTTCTTTTTGTCAGTTCTGCACGAGCCAGTCTTCATTCAGTCCGAGTTGACGGCTGGGTCTGACGTTTCATCTCATTTGAAGTCTTTTGAAGCCCTGCTTCTCCAGGCCAAAGGGGAACTGTCCGCTTCAGCACCACGACACAATTTTGCTTGTATTGGCATCGTTTCCTAAATACCAACAATGCAACGTTCTTCGCTTGCATGGAAAAGGCGAGTTGCATCGAGATGACAGAAGATCTGAAATTTGTCCTCCACGCGTCCATTTCTGAAAAATGTGCATCAACCCAAACCCAAGCAAAGCAGCAGGTTAGAGGAGGATGACAAAGGGTTGTTTTGGTGAGATTTTATGGTAAGGCAGTGTTCATAATGCTACAGTAGCACTTCATGACAAGTGACATAAACCTACATAAATATTTACAAAAATTTATTCCAGAAGGTCATTTCTCAAAAAAGTGACGGCATTTTTCTGTCATTTTCTGGGGTGGAATTATCCTTTCAAAATGTCTATGTAGATCTATATCAGTTGTCATGACAGGCCTATGTAGGTGTCATGCAGCCTTATGAACACCACCCTACAATAAAGCGTCACCATTCATTTCAACAGCCAACGCCAGCAAGGACGGTCTGAAGCAACGTGGAGTAATAACAACAATAATCACGATGAAAAGGACAAAGAAGGAGGATATCTTGTTGTTTATTTTGTTCCATCTCTCTTTTTTAAATGAATATTTACGTTTGACGTCATGTATATAGTAATAATATCTCTTTGGTCTCTTTGCATGAACTTTAAGCTCTTGTGCCAATGTGGGTGTTTCCACCTCTCTTAAAAAACAAAAAAACAAAACGAGACAAAAAAACAGGCACGCTTCTTTTTACCGAAGTTCATATTTGTATTTTTATAACTAAATATTTGTTACTTAAGACGATATGCTAGTTTACTGATCAACAGGCAGGGCGTGTGGCCGTTCAGAAGCATAAAAACGATCTCATAAACAGACAAAGTGAATGTTTTGGGGGGCTTTTGCACTCATCAACACATTACCCTTCTCCTGCATTTTTCAGTACTCGGTCACAGTCTCTGTTGATGATGGAGTCGGTTTAGTTCATTGAATCAGTTTAGTTTATTGCACTTTTTTTTCCAGCAGCAGTCAGATAACACAATGTTTTTGGAAAACTTTGAAGTTTTTAATTTATTAATTTATCTATTCTGATTTATATTATTCTTTTGAAAAGGTCTATGTATGGTTTGTTGTGCATGAACCTTAATGTTTTCCAAATAAATAAACATTTTATTAAGCAAAAAACACAAAAATTTACACAAGAATGAACCATTGTGTACAATGATGGCATATCACTGTACTTGGTGAATGAATAAATGGGGACAGAAGCTGTCAAGACTGTTCATTTGTTTGGTTTTTGACTCCCAAGTTGGTGCGCACCTCATGTAGGCTGCACCAAAATATGCACACACACACACACACACACACACACACACACATATATATATATATGTGGGTCATTCTACAGAAACATCCACTTTTCTATCTGTCCATAGGAGTCACTGGTGTTACCGATCCTCATTGGTGTTACACATAAGAAAGGTAACACCAGAGACATTTTTAATGAAAATGCATTTTACAAAATGGCTGCCACAGAGCATCAAACCACCTGTTGTCATTCATGGAATATCCACTAAAATATATAATTTAATCTATTTGTGTTCTATTTTTTTCACAAGTTTCTAAGAATAAAGTCGGTCACACCAGTGACTTCAGCTAAAAGCTTCATATGAAATCATGAGCTAAATGAGAAAATCTCTGATAACTGAAAGACACAGTGAACTCACCATGTGCTTTTCTTCATAGATCCTCAGAAAATAGGTAAAAGGAAGTCAAGTGATGTCATCAGTGTGATTTTTATCAAAATAAGAGATTGTTTTGTTATGCAGTAACACCAGTGACATGACGCATGAGGACCACAACCTTCATTATATATTTTATTTAATATTTCTTTATGTCATTTAAATCATATATTTCATAGTCATGTATAGATTATTGCAGTTAAAATTGCAGAATTCTTTTTTTTTACCTGAAAATATGGCCTCACCCTTTACACATGACTGTGGGGACAAGCTCTTCTGTGGTGCCTGGAATTCTACATAACTGATTTAAAAAACAGTATTGCTAAATTGACGGGCAAAGAAGGTGTAATTGTTAAAATAACGTGTTGCTTTATTTTAAAATATTAATAAATTATGAAAATAAACCCTAAAAATGTTTTTCAAGTGTAACATATCTGTAAACACTAGGGACACAAAAATGGACGTTTCCATAGAATGACTATATTTAGAGAGAGGCAATAAAGGCAACGACTTTTCATGTATAAAAATCATTGAGACAAGTTTTTATGGTTCTATTGAAAAACACAGTCAAAACTGAAGAAGAAGAAGAAGAAGAAGAAGAAGAAGAAGAACGAGGAAAACAGAAGCATAAGATGCTTTTAGAACTTATTTTTAGAATTTTATATGTTCTAATATCATATGAACTTAAAAATGGTTCCTCAAGGCTTCTTTAGTAAAGAAAATGGTTCAATATAAAACCATAAACACTCAAATAACTTTTTCATGATTACAGAGTTCTTTGCATCATGAAAGTGTTCTTCTATATAGCACCAAAAAGGGTTCCTCTATTATTACAAGCTTGAAATCGTAACAATAGAAGAACCCTTTTTGGTGCTGTACAGAACCCTTTTCAAGAAGGTTCTATATAGATCCATATATGCACATTCTCCATCAATGTGCCTTTTCATGATGCAAAGAACCCTTTGATCATGCAAAGATGTTCATGGTTCTATGTAGAAGCACCTTCTTTACTCAAGAACCCTTGAACAACCATCATTTTTGAGAGTGTATGTAACAGATATGTCCTTTACCAACCACTCAGCATTATTAGCTCATAATGCTGGATAAACACAACTCAAAAACATCCAGTTTATAACTACATATAAAGGAAAAACAGACAGTTTTACACAGAAGTAAAGCTGCCAAAAACAAGAGTTCTTTGGAGAAACACCACCTGACCTTATCAAAGCTTGTCCCTATGATCCAAGCCACCATTTAGGAACCTTTATTTTTAAGGATGAACCAAAAGTTCTCCAGCAGTCCATGAAACACTGACACCACAGTACGACCTGACCTCTGCAGGCCAGTCCATCTGTTAATGAGGCCAAGGACCTGAGGGCCTATGTGTCTAATGAGCTTTACCTGGAGTCACAAGTTTGCCTCTGCAGACCACAGGTACAATTCTGAAGACTTCATGTTGTCAGGAATCAGACAGGTATAAACCTGGCAACCCTGAACTGAGGACATTTATCATTAGACATGAAGCTGCTACACTACTGCATGTTTACCAGTAAAGGACAGCCTATGATTTCCAGACATTTCATAATACATTTGTCTACTGATAATAAGGATATTGTGCAATTCATAACCTTTATATGTAGCCTATAAATCAGTGATCAGTGCTCAGTGCTCTTGGTGAGATTCTGTAGGTTCTGTTTATCACCACCTTCTCTGATCTGCTGATTTGATGTTACAGAGAGACGCTGCAAGCACTGCAACTAGTGTTTCTGCTATGGCTGCTGTAACCAATACATTTAATAATAAAAAGAAGAAGAAGAAGATGATGATGATGATGATGATGATGATGATAAACAGGAGAAGAAAAAGAGAAAGAAGAGGAAAAGGGAGGAGGAGAAGCAGACAAATAAGCAAAAATAGAACCAGAAAACAAAAAAGATAAAGAAGAGCAAGTAGAAGAAAAGGAACAAGAAAAAGAACAAAAGGAAGTAGAAAGAGGAGGAGGAGGAGGAAAAGCAGAAGAAGAAGAAAGGAAGGAAAAAAGAAGCCAAATAAGAAACAGTGGAAGCAACAAAAAAGAAGAAGACGAAGAAAAGGAAAAAGAAGGTGAAGAAAGAAAGAAGGTGTAGAAGAAAAAAAGGAGTAGAAGAAAAATAGGATGTAGAGGAAGAAGAAGAAGAAGAAGAAGAAGAAGACGATGCAGAGGAAGAAAAACAAGACAAGAAGAAGAAGAAGAAGCAGAAGAACGAGGAAAACAGAAGCATAAGATGCTATTAGAAAATTTTATGTGTACACACTTAAAAAAGATGGTTCTTCAAGAGTTCTTTAGCAAAGCACATGGTTCTATATAGAACAATGAACACTCAAAGAACTCTCTGCATTATTAAAGGGTTCTTTGCATCATGAAAGAGTTCTTCAGATTGATGGACAAGGTGCTGTAGATGGTTCTATGTAGAACCTTATTGAAAAGACTTCTATATAGCACCAAAAAAGGGTTTTTCTATTGTTACAAGCTTGGCATTGTAACAGTAGAAGAATTCATTTTGGTGCTATATAGAACCCTTTTCAAACAGCCAGAACCATATACAGCACATTCTCCATCAATCTGAAGAACGTTTCATGATGCAAAGAACCCTCAAACACACACAAAAGACAACTATGCGAGATCTGTGAGCTGCATGAGTCTCAAATAAGCCACGTCTCCAAGCTGTGATAAAAAGATGATTCAACATGTCTCCCACAGGCGTGTGTTTGTTTGTTTGTTTGTTTGTGTTTTTTTCATGTCTGTTTACTGATCTGCATTTCCACGAGCGCTGCTGTGATGGTATTGCCAGGTCGTAAGATGGAACTGACTGTGTTCTCAATTAATATTCTTAATAAAGCTAATGAATGAAGTCCACTTACACAGTGGCTGGTACGGTATGGTGATCTTTCTACCTCGCTTTTGGAAAACGTTTAGCTTTTAGCTGCTGGAGTCTGACTGAGAGAAGTCAGTCTACACAAGCATTTTGTCAGCAAAGTGTTGCAAGTAAAATGACTCTTGTTTCAGCGTTCTTTTCCATGATGAGCGGTTATGCGTTGCAGATTTCCAGAGCGAATAAATTTATACCTGTACTATGTAAGATCAGGGGATCTTCTTCTTCATACTGATTATGTTTTTACTGTGTTTTTCAATAGAAACATAGAAACTTGTCTCAATGTGTTTTATAAATGAAAGACATGCCTCTATACACTGATCAGGCATGACATTATGACCACCTCCTCGTTTCTACGCTCATTGTCCATTTTATCAGCTCCACTTACTATATAGGTGCACTTTGTAGTTCTACAGTTACAGACTGTAGTCCATCTGTCTCTCTGCATACTTTATTAGCCCCCTTTTACCCTGTTCTTCAGTGGTCAGGACCACCATGGACCCTTACAGAACATACTTCATATATAATGCTACTTTCAATGTTAACAAAAAAAAATCATAGAGCTACTTTAAACTTTGTGAAGGTTCAATCCTTTGCAGAGCAGCACTGATCCAAAGCAGTGTTCAACCATTCATTCCTTTCTGATCAGCTATAAATGATACATACAAGAGAGGCAATGTGATACACAGTCAGTCTGGTAATATAAGGCGTGCACTAATCATTCATTTTTATGGCTGATTTTTATTAGCAACAGCTGCAGTTGCTGAATTTAACCTATAAATAATGAAACATAAAGATTATGGCCTTTGCAAAAGTTCCAGCACATTTTATATTTTACATTTGTTTTTTTTTCTGTGTGTTAAACTCATCAAATAAATAGAAATTTACAATTAAAATTTGCTATATTTAGGTTTCCTCCCTGTAACTTATTGTCACATATTGTTGTTTGCATTCAACCCTTTGATTGACCGGCGACCCATCCAGGGGGTTTCCTGCCTCCAGCCCAATGAGCACTGAGCACCCAGCACAACCCAGAGAATAAGCAGTTTATAAAATGTGTTTGTGTGTTTTTTGCATTCAGCATCCAGATCCAGAGTGAGTGCACTTACCTGGTTTATACCATAAAACTGCAATACAGGTCAGCCAAAATAAAAAATAATCAATCTGCTGATTGATCAATGCATGTTTGGAGCAAAACATCTGCCAAACAATCTGCACTAGCATGCTAAGTGCACCTGAGCATTTTTTATCACCGGTCATGCAGTGCACCCTTCATCCCGTTTCCTAATGTGACTGTGTCTTCAGCCAGCAGATACACAAGGGCCAGATATTGCTGCACGTTCTGCAGCTACAACTCTACAGACGTACGTACGGATCATCATCCTCTGTCAGTTTACTCTCTTGGTAACAGAAGCAGTCTGATAGATCAATATAGACCTCAGAGACAAATGTCCCTCTCGGTACCTGCGGCAATACTGAGCAGCCAACCCACTGACCAAAGCCAAAGGATGGACAGCAGCAAAAACCAACACTTATTTGATCAAGCTGACTTCAGGGAACAAAGTGTCTGCCATTTGAAACACTCCATTATAATTTTTAGCCACATGTTAAAACAGAGATTATCATGTG